GCATCAACTGATGCAGCCAGGGAGTGACAGCCTCTAGATGCATATGGCCGCATGTGTTGCTTACACTGTAAGACATGGTTTCCCTATACCGAGAATCGACCATCTTCTAAGGATGAAACACTGAGTGGTACAGAACGAACAGTATCCCTGACCTCTCGTGTCATTCAGGCACGAGCCTTCTTGCAGATCAAGTAGCGAGTTCTGACGAATGGAATGAGTGAGTTATCAAAAAACAAGTTTTGTTTGTTTGTTTATTTGTTGTTTAACGCCGCACTATTCGAGCTATATGACGGCGGTCTGTAAATAATCGAGTCTGGACCAGACAATCCAGTGATTGACATCATGAGCATCGATCCCGCGATTGGGATACGATGACATGCATCAACCTAGTCAACGAGCTTGACCACCTCTAACGATAAGCATAGTCGCCTTTAACGACAAGCATGGGGTGCTGGTGGATAATGTAAGACGTTTCCCGCAATTTTATGGAACTTGAGATTTTACAGGAATAGTGATAGTGATCGATCTATTGAATCAAAGGCGTTTTTAAAATCAACAAAATAAAGCCTTTTCCGCTTTGCTTTTGAAAGAGGTGAGGTGAAATGAGGTTTAACGTCGCGTCCAAGATTATTGCACTTATATAGCGACGTGCTTGCTGACTGCTATACTGACTCGTAGCCGACCAGTCCTTGTTTTAGCCCCTCAATGCTGAGAGCCAGAAGTGCCATCTTTTAACGTCTTTTGGTATATAGTCACATGTCTGTTTTTGACCAATACAATTACGAGAAATAACGCCCTGTTGCGTCCTCATACCTTGGAGGGATCTACTTCCACAACGTAAAATCACTGAAATAAAGAGGAGTGAGTGAGTGAGTTTGATTTTACGCCGCTTTTAGCAATATTCCAGCAATATCACGGCGGTGGACACCAGAAATGGGCTTCACACATTGTACCCATGTCGGGAATCGAACCCGGGTCTTCGACGTGACGAGCGAACGCTTTAACCACAAGGCTACCCGACCGCCCCGAAATAAAGAGGAAGGCGAACCATCTTAGGAGGTAATTTGGTGTAAAAATGAGTATTTATACCAATTAATTAATTGCGTCAAATTGATTCACTAATTGCCTTCTAATATCACAAGATAAAGGATTACGTCCTGCTCCGTCCAAGCTACGTCCTTGCTGCCCGCCGAGAGGACGTAATAACAACAAACAACATCGACTGGGAACTACGATGGACAATTCAAAGAGGAAGATTACAAATGTCAGGAGGCCGATACATAAGACGTTTAACAACACGAATTGGCCACCGATATGCTTTGACAGTAGCATTGGATTGATGAGTAACATGTTAAAAAATAGTGAGGCTAAATGCCGCGCATGAATACATCAGCGAAGATTACATAGTTCCTGTTGTCGGAATTAACAGCAACTTAAATACACGTCTTGACATGTCATCAAAAACGATTCTGGGTTCCTCTGTACGTAACTCATAAGATTTAATAAACTTTATAATGGAAAATGCTAAGCTTTAGCCAAATTCAGTAACTTCATGGCGACCTAAGCTAGCTGTCACAATGGCGGGAGTTAGCGACACACGTCGCTCAGCCCTGATCACAAATTCACACAAATATGGATAAATATCGAGCTGCCAAGGGATTGTGATGTGTTTGTTGAATAACGAAGGTATGATTAATCTGTATCTGATGGTTAATTTGCGTAACTGTAAGCTTAGAACGACGAATTTTTCAAAAATTACGGTGAATGGAAAACTCTTGAAAATGTAAACAAGATCGTTTTGACAGGAACGTTATTGACATCGAAAATGAAGAGGTACTGACATATCCTAAACAACATGCGTAACATGATGGCATGGACATATACTTATTTTTCGAGATAACAGTATGCTAGGAAGCTCTATAAACAGCATGCTATGGTCCTCTGATAGATTTCTTACCAAAACGAATGTCAAAACATTGAATTACGTAAAACGAGGTTGGCAAAAATATACTGGCATATACCTGCAAAACTAATTACAGTTTACAGGATAATTATGCGATAATTCGTGCACTGTCATATAACCATAAAAAATACAACAGAGAAATATTCAGGAAATAATTTTTACAAGTTGTCATAACTTACACATTTATAATTATACATTCTTCGTAATGGCCATCACACTATCATGACGTAGTATATGATCTGATTCCTGAAAAAAGTGTCTGCTTTGTTTAGATGGCAGCGTATTTGATTAATAGGCAATGATTGTAACTGTATTATATTGTTTCTGTTGAGAATCGGTAGACGCTCATTGCATTGTATTTGGAGAGTGATTAGTTGTCAAGAATGTAGTATTATTAGATGTAAGCAGTTTTGAGGAAGTTACTATATGTTGCTTGTGTGATGTGTAAATTTCCGGAATACCGGGGAATGTGATAGTGTGTTATAGAAACATGTAGAATATTTGTTTTTGTTAGGGCACTGTGTGGAACTTTCCAGTAGCTAGTTAGACGGGACACGAGGGGAAAAAGCATGTTTCTCGCATCTCTCTCTCACATTTCATTACACCAAGACCAGCTTCCAGGTGATGATTAGTTTGTACTCCAGATTCCCTGCCTTGGCCCATCTCGGAAGCTTGACCACTGTGGCCGCAGGGTGAACATATATTATTATTACTGACTTTTGCTATCACGACTGTATTTCTGTATTTGATACTATCCACTGCCATCATATATACTGTCATTGATAGTGTACTACCTCTCCATTGTGCACTGCCATTGTAATTGCTGTGCAGTAGGTTCATTTGTAAATGGTAATTTGGTAATACAATTGTTAATTGTATTGTACCATTTGTTGGTTGTTTGTTGGTTTCACGCTACGTTGTTTTATGTACATGTTTCTGGGTTCACAGATTGTTTCAGTTTGGGAATCAACAAGTAACACTTTATAATTAGCTAATATTTGAAATACACGATCACATAACCATCATATATTTCGTAATTCGGTTGATATTATATTTGAAGATATCCACACACTGGCAGCCTACGGAAAAGGGTGACTACAAATGTTTTCTGACAATCGACAGAAAGTGTTCGCATTATGAGGACATTCATTCATTTCAGGGTGTCATGTTACAGGCCTACTTCTCATGTCGCAGTCGGTGTCTGTTTCGTTGACATTCAATGCCTACATTGAAATATGAACGCTGAGATGAAATCGTTTGAAAGAAAAGTTAATCAAACGACAAAAGATGTTTTGTTATATATTTTGTCTTGTAAAATAGGTTTAAAAAATTAATAATTACTTGTTTAATCTCAAACGACATTAAATCGAGTGTTCATGGTCAGGATAATTCTATTGCATCGTATTGAAGAAGGAATTGTTCTGTACAGGGAATAATCAAGACATACCTATGCATATCTATGTACACATTTGGGGATAAGACATTTAGGCCAGAAGTAGGCATCTGTTTCTTTATGCAACTGAATCGGACTTCCTGTTCGGATTTTCAAAGTCAAAACAAGGTTATTTGGCCAAGAAATTTAACTTAGACTTTAGGTATATCGATGATCTGATATCGTTCAATAATAATCAGCTAGCCAATTCCCTTCCAATGATCTACCCACCTGAACTAGAAATATAGGAAACCAGTGAGAATGCCCCATGTGTTTCATGATCTATGCATAAAGTGACAAAAGACTCCACACAAGAATGTATGCCTTCATTTTTTCAATAGTTAACTTTCCCTTTATGCGAGCAATATTCAAGCAGCTTCAGTCTTTCGAGCATGCTCTTTCTACCAAGAGTGAGTGAGTATGGTTTTACGCCGCTTTTAGCAATATTCCAGCAATATCACGGCGGTGGACACCAGAAATGGGCTTCACACATTGTACCCATGTCGGGAATCGAACCCGGGTCTTCGGCGTGACGAGCGAACGCTTTAACCACAAGGCTACCCGACCGCCCCTTTTCTACCAAGATGTCAAAGAGACTACACCGTTCAAGGCAACAGTAAAGCTTTCAAAACGTTTTATGGTAGACACATGGAGGACATTCTATATGGATTTGGCAAATAGAAAGGATATGATCATATCTTGTGAGGAGTAGGCGATTCAGTGACATAAATATATACTGAGTCAAATTAAAAACTTCACATTTTTAAAAGTAATCCCATATATGATATACAACGGACAAATGTATCAGAGAAGATAATTTTTAATCATTAATGTCAAAAGAAGGATTTTAATTAACGGTGGTAACCATAATTTGTTCCAAGCACCTACGGTATTCGATAACTACATCAACAGTTTAAATCATAAGTCCCAAGCACGAAAATCTGATGGCACACAAGTTCAGTAGCGTGTGTGGCCACCATGTGCGTTGACAACTGCCACACAACGCCTCCGCATGGTCCTTGTGATGATTGTGAACACATGATTGGGAAGACGACGCCATTGTTGCTGCAAAATGGTACCAAGATCTTGCAAATTCTGTGGTTGGTTCTGGAGAGTGCGCAGACTTCTGCCAAGAGCATCCCAGACGTGTTCGATGGGATTGAGGTCGGGAGACCTTGACGGCCGGTCCATGATGTTGACTCCCGCATTCTGAAGGAAATTCCTTGTCAAAATTGCTGTGTGGGGTCTGGCATTGTCGTGTTGGAAGATCAAACCGGGTCCATGTGCTGCCACAAAAGGCAGAAATTCTGGTGCCAGTACCTGGTCGCGGTAAGCAGCAGCGTTGAGGTTGCCACGGATGACAAGAAGCCTGGAACGTGCTTTGCCACAGAAAGCACCCCACACCATGACACTTCCGCCTCGAAATCTGTCAACTTCCTGTACACAACACTGGGCGTAACGTTCTTGACGGCGCCTCCACACCCTCGCCCTACCATCAGCAAATCGAAGATTAAATCGGGATTCATCACTGAGTCCATCGTAAGTGTCGCTGTGCCCACAATTGACGTTGACGTCTGTATAATTGAGTCAGAATCAGCCCGCAGAATGGCCGTTGTGCTTGAAGGTGAGCAGTTCTCAGACGGTTTCGAACAGTTTGCGCACTCAGTCTACCCCTAAACAGTTCATTTCTGGTTGATGTAGCCGTCAAAAATCGGTTAAGGAGGTGACGTAAGACAATCTGACGATCCCCTGCATGTGACGTCACACGTGGTCGACCTGGCCGAGGGCGATCAGCGGTGGTACCCGTTTGCTGTAGAAGCGTCTGTAAATCATAAACAGTCCGTCGACTACAACCCGTCGTCCTTGCGACTTCAGCTACGGGCGTTCCTGTCTGCAACATGCCAATGGCACGTTCACGTTGCACATTTGAAAGGCGTGGCATGACAAATGGCCGTAAAGACTTTTGTTTTCTTGTGTTTTTCTTTTTTTGTTAATGACTGCTAAAAGTATGGCTGAAAACACATGCGGTATTATGGCCACGTGACCAGTTGCACGTTAAAAAACACTTTTGCCACTATAATGCTGTGCACATGATTTTGATCGATTCACCTGCAGAAAAACGGGTGTTATCTGAAGACAATACGTGGCCATTACTGTTTAAATACACAATAAGGGCCAACAATGATAACTGGTCAAAATGTTACAATTTTAGGTTTGTGAAGTTTTTAATTTGGTTCAGTATATTATATACTTATTCTAAATAAACACTATATAAATGTATATAGAGCTGTTGTTATGTGCAGTTAATGTTATTGGCGTAGAAATTGGTGTAAATAATTTTGTAGCTACTAGTAAAAACAAAAGTAAATGTTGTCGTGGTCAGATTTAAAATGAAGTGGAGCTTTCAAGAATGGTTTTGTGTTAGAACTAGAGTTACCTGCCCTTGTTGTGTGCATGGACATGGCAAGTGTGGTCGTTCTGAAGGGCAGTTTCTGAAAGACTTGTTGTATTAATAAGAAGATCGACAAGAAGGCGATTCGGTGGCTTTCCGACCTGACTTGTCTGTAACGTAAGGGACCGACCATTTGATATACTCTCTCTCTCATATTTGTTACCTTATCCCTATGTATGTCTCTCACTATACATTATGTACAAAACGAATAATTTTGAGAAACAACGGACCACTTCATGTTAAATTCGTGTCTCCACAAGTTTCGTGTTTCCGCATTTCCCAAAGCTTTTTGTAAAAGTGTGACCTTTTTAAACCGTTACTGACAATGACTTAAGGCTCTTAAGATTTCTACCAAAGCAGTTACAACGCGGGACGTGTTGTGTTTCTCTTTTTTTAGTGTACGAAAATAGAAGTAAAGCAATACACGTCACCAAACGGCCTCTAAACAAAGTAAACTGGTCCACGGGGACCATGTAATGGAGCTTAGTGGGAGCCTCGCCTTGTCGGATCAATTCTAATTAAAGAAGTCCTTTAGAAATACAAAAAGGGTGATCCAATAACCTCGATAAATACTTTTGTTTTTGCTAATCTTTATAGGATGATTTTCAAATTGAATCCCAAATGGTGACTAAGCTAGTTGAAATGGATTGTTTAGATTTTAATCCTGACATGGTCGACAGAAATCTCCACAAAGTCAGAGATAAAATACAAAATGAGCATAGTTATGTTTACTTTTTAACTGGTGTTATGGATGTCCTACTTCTACCATTCAACATTAAGTTGACAGTAACTGGTGCACTTTTGGTACATTTGGTTCCGAGGAATGATGCATGGAGTATTGTGAGGGCTTATATTTATTGTAAATTATTCGATATCAGTCACGTTGCTTAAACTTGTAGTGCAATGGGCAATCGTATAAGAAGGAGTACATGTCAGCCGAAGATGTGTCATATAACGAAGTAAAAATGCTAAACTGTGAATTAAGATGGAAATTACAATCTGATTTCTCGGATAGTTTTGTGGGACCTTTCATATATATCAATAGACGGTAGCCCAGTATATAACAGGTTTGTCTTTGCATCGACTAGACTTTTGGCATCTAGACGCAAATCATCCTCCTTGCCTCTGAACCGTCTAGACGGAGAACAAAGTATACTGATATCTTGATAAAACGAACCACAGGACATTTTAATTCCGTTAAACTGGCAATGCTGCTTATACGGGCGGACTTATTTCCCGTGAATGTAACCGCAACGACACAAACGGTTGATGAGTTTACAACCTGGTGTCAACCTGTATCAACCTGGTGTCTTCACTGGAACTGTACAGTGATTCGTGAGTAAATTCTCTCTTATTTGGTTTTTACTCTTGTCCTTATACCAACATACCAACACCACCTCCCTTCCCAGAACGCCTTGATATAAATGGAACACTGTTTAAAGTCGCGTTAAACCCAACTCACTCACTCCCTTCCCAGAACGCCTTGATATAAATAGAACACTGTTTAAAGCCGCGTTAAACCCAACTCACTCACTCCCTTCCCAGAACGCCGTGATATAAATGTTATACTGTTTAAAGCCGCGTTAAACCCAACTCACTCACTCCCTTCCCAGAACGCTATGATATAAATGGAACACTGTTTAAAGACGCGTTAAACCCAACTCACTCACTCCCTTCCCAGAACGCCGTGATATAAATGGAATACTGTTTAAAGCCGCGTTAAACTCAACTCACTCCCTCCCTTCCCAGAACGACGTGATATAAATGGAACACTGTTTAAAGCCGCGTTAAACCCAACTCACTCACTCCCTTCCCGGAATCGCGGCAACCCAATAACACATACGCCCTTTACATTTGCCATGGTGAGATTTGTTTTATATCGGTAAGTATGTCATTACAGAAAAGTCAATTCCTCCCACAAACTCCTAGCCCAGATATAAATAAGAGCAAAACACCCCTGAAGTGCTGTACCTGTCTTACGCGATGTCACTTATGGGCTGAATGAAGGTAAACATGTCTTACTCGATTAGTAGAATAAAAAGACCATCTTCTTTAGAAACAGAACAAGATTGTTACATGTCAGATGCAGATGGGCTCAATGAAATGATGCAGCTTTTTTAAAAAACAGCGGCATTCAGCCATACTTCAGGGTGTTTCCGTAGGCAGTGGTTGCGCCACTCGGCTCATTTCCACCAGTAATACATCAGATTAATGTTAAACGTAACTACAGATCGGGATTGTCCTCTAGGTTAATGCAATTTGTCAAACCGTTCGAAGCCTGACTAACTTTCAATTATGGGACATAACAAAGTGAACTAGTCAATGTTGTACATTGTTTAAGTAGTTCATTGCAAGTGTATTTGGTCTGTAAGGCCGTTTGTATATTAATGACAGTCGTGATAGGGATCAAATGGACACAGAAACTGAAAAGAACGAGTGCCGAGCAGTCATCGTGTTTATGACTTTAGAGAAAAGTACTCCCCAAGAAATTCATGACCGCATGTCACAAGTGACGTTGCCAGAGAAAATGTTGAGCTAATTTGGGAGGATTTCGTCAAATTTAAAAAGAGATTTGTTACGGGTGATGAAACATTGGTCAACCGCTATGATCCCGAGGCAAAACGTCAATGCATGAAATGGCACCATTCAACTTCTCCCGCACCAAAGAAATTCAAGTATTTAAGGAAATTATGGCCACTGTATTCTTGGAGGCAAAGGGTGTGATCCTTGTTGATTACTTAGAAAGTCATAAGACGGTGACCGTTGCATAATATGCTGATTTGCTTCACTAAGAGATTCTATCAAAAAAAAGCAGCGAGGAATGCGGACTGCTGGAGTTCACATTCGTGGAAAGCGCTGTGGCGACAATGGGGACGGGACCTCAAAGCTCCCGTGAATAGGTATTTCAGGGTGGCTTCCGAAAACTTCTTCCTCACTGGAATTGAAAAGCTCCACTATCGATATGAAAAATATATTGGAAAGCAGGGAGATTATGTTGATCAATATAATAAACACTTTCACAATTGTTGGTTTTGTTTGTTAGTCTTAAAACGTTTTGACCAGCCCTCGTAAATAGCACTGTCGCGATGAACAACTGTTTTGACAGCGAGACGAACGGGTGGCCCTATCGCTGTGCAAAGTTCCGTTCTTTGGACATGACAGAGACCTATGATCGTGGGGTCGAATCCCGGTTCGACTCGATCGTTTTTCTAGGTTTGTAAGCACCGTGGGTTTCACCAGAGTTGTCAACGTCTGAGACCTGCATCACTTCGGGTTTCAGTCCCACGTTCACCTGACACGCCGTCTGATAACTGGAATACAGATCAAAGTTGCGTTAAACTCACTCACTTTCTCCCCCTCCGAAATGACCTCAAATATGCGACGGTTTGCGATGAAATTAAAAATATATCTATGGACGGTTATTTCATCAATTCTTCTTTAAAAACTATTCATCATTTTGTAACCGCTATTTTGAAATAGTCAAGAATGAAAGTTGGTTGGTTGGTTGGTTTGTTGTTTAACGCCGCACTCAGCAATATTCCAGCTATATGACGGCGGTCTGTAAATAATCGAGTCTGGACCAGACAATCCAGTGATCGCCATCATGAGCATCGATCCACGTAATTGGGATCGATGACATGTATCAACCAAATCAGCGAGCCTGACCACCCGATCCCGTTAGTCGCCTTTTACGACAAACATAGTCGCCTTTTATGAAAGTAAATAATCTTGAACGTGAGTAGTGTTTTTACATTTATCGCTACCTGTGACCTCTTTTCCAAACGTTCTGAAATCGCTGACCTATGTACAAATGTATAATTACGCGTTCCAGTAGACAAGTAGTGCCGTTTGAAACCGTAGTCGTCGTCAACAGAGATAAACCTTCTGTGTCTTGAAATTTGATGTAGTCCTACTATAGATATTACAACGCTCGGTTCCAAATATAAATAAGAAGTATCTACTTTACAGAGGGGCTACATCACATTTCCAAACACAGTAAGTTGACCTCCCAACTGAATGACCGGAAGAGAAATAAAGGATTATTTGTTTGTTTGTTTGCTTGTTTGTTCTTTTAACGCCGCAGTTTGCAATATTTCAAGTATATGACGGCGGTCTGTAAATAATCGAGTCTGGACCAGACAATCCAGTGATTGACATCATGAGCATTGATCCATGTAATTGGGATACGATGACATGCATCATCAACCAAGTCAGCGAGCCTGACCCGATCCCGTTAGTCGCCTCTTACGACAAACATAGTCGCCTCTTACGACAAACATAGTCGCCTCTTACGACAAACATAGACGCCTTTTACAGCAAGCATGGTTTGCTGAAGACCTATTCTATCCCGGATCTTCACGGGTCAAATACAGGATGAAAGAAGCGCGTCGGATGGATGTGCAGAAGGATGCCCATGTGTCAGTTGAGGATAGAGCGGTCATGTGATGTCAGACAAACAGACAGCTGATCTCACCCTCGCCTTGCTACAACAGCTATCGCCACACTACTGCAATATAATCCCGTGTAAGTCCATTCAGAACTCGCAATCACAAGTCAGCCGCTCCAAGTGCAAGCGATTGACACGAGTATGCCATCAAAGACCAGCAACCCTTTGAGCAATACCTCCAAGCTTACAGTGTACAGGCTAAAACGTCAGCCCCAGCATACTAAACCACACTCGCGTGATGCCCCTAATACATTTTGACAACATTTTCTTTTTTCATATTTCACAAGCCTTGATATGGTAAAGTGGGATCGTTGAGAGTTAATAATGTTAGAAACCCATCGATATTTTCAAGCCAGTCAAACTCAAGACAACCCCCAAATCAAATTACTGTCTCAGAAATACAGTCTATTTTTGATGCTTTTTGTATAGAATCCGACAACATCTAAACGATATTCAAATTACTGCCCGTACGCTGAATTTAATATCGACCCCTTGAAGAGACTAGACACTTGGGGCCCATCTTCGAGGCCCCCAACACGCTTGAGAAAGACCCGATATCCACCACGAACGAGAGCGATCAGCCACCGCAGGCTCTTGAGATTGGACCCGCTTGCAACAGCGATTTCTCAGTTTTGTATAAAATCGTGTTATCCATTGGACAGATGTCAAAGTCGAAGATAGGAATCCTTTGAGATTTGTACTGCCCCATAATGGACTTTATCAGCGCTTTGAACAAATTTTCTCCGACATCATCCGAGATAAATGCACACCGTTACCGTATTTATACCTCCTTAGGCCTAGTTATAAATGCAACACGCACCTCATTGCCAGTTGCGATGCACCATTCGTAAGCTTGCCCCGGCGTTAGATAAATTAAGCCGGCTTATAGGACTGGGTCTAGACCTCTGATTATATTCTCTGGATCAGAACATCTAATAAAGGGCTAATACGTTTTACTTTAGGCCCACTGAGAAAGGTTTTATTGCTTTGCTTTATGTGCACATATAATACAGGAAAACGACGGAGTTTGGGATAAAATGGTTGGTTTTCGAGCAATTCATGTATATGATGGTTTCCCGTGCTGTAATGCTGATATTGGCCTAAATGTGATTCTAATAATAACTTAGAAATATTTTTTTTGTCCTGACCGAGATTTGTCTGTAATCGTTGTCTTTCGTCCGACGGTTTCTGAGTAAACGATGTTTGGAGAGATGATCGCTGGATCCGGACTTGTGACAGTCTACACCCGTGTTTGGCGAAATGATCGATGGACTTGTGACAGTCTACACCCGTGTTTGGCGAGATGATGGATGGACTTGTGACAGTCTACGCCCGTGTTTGGCGAGATGATGGATGGACTTGTGACAGTCTACGCCCGTGTTTGGCGAGATGATGGATGGACTTGTGACAGTCTACACCCGTGTTTGGCGAGATGATGGATGGACTTGTGACAGTCTACGCCCGTGTTTGGCGAGATGATCGATGGACTTGTGACAGTCTACGCCCGTGTTTGGCGAGATGATGGATGGACTTGTGTCAGTCTACGCCCGTGTTTGGCGAGATGATGGATGGACTTGTGACAGTCTACACCCGTGTTTGGCGAGATGATGGATGGACTTGTGGCAGTCTACACCCGTGTTTGGCGAGATGATGGATGGACTTGTGACAGTCTACGCCCGTGTTTGACGAGATGATGGATGGACTTGTGACAGTCTACGCCCGTGTTTGGCGAGATGATGGATGGACTTGTGACAGTCTATACCCGTGTTTGACGAGATGATGGATGGACTTGTGACAGTCTACGCCCGTGTTTGGCGAGATGATGGATGGACTTGTGACAGTCTACACCCGTGTTTGGCGAGATGATGGATGGACTTGTGACAGTCTACGCCCGTGTTTGGCGAGATGATGGATGGACTTGTGACAGTCTACGCCCGTGTTTGGCGAGATGATGGATGGACTTGTGACAGTCTACACCCGTGTTTGGCGAGATGATGGATGGACTTGTGACAGTCTACACCCGTGTTTGGTGGCAGCTGAACATGAAACAAACAAGAAGTGGTCACTCGATGGTGATGCACTTGATACGGGTATCGTCGTTGTGTTTTGGACCTTAAGTTTGCGGTCGTTCGGCAACTGTTTTCAGTCTACTAACGTTTTGATAACGTTTGTAATATTTGATCAAATCAAATTCTCAAGTGTATATTTGAGGGACCTAAATTGTAGTATTTTATTAATTTGTCACATTTCGACTTGCGAAGAGTCGTGACATATCTGACTGTTCCCCATCACAGGCCGGACATACTCCTACCTTCCCTATCACAGGCCGGACATACTCCCTACTTCTCCATCACAGGTCGGACATACTCCCACCTTCCCTATCACAGGCCGGACATACTCCCCACTTCTCCATCACAGGTCGGACATACTCCCACCTTCCCTATCACAGGTCGGACATACTCCCACCTTCCCTACCACAGGCCGGACATACTCCCACCTTCCCTATCACAGGCCGGACATACTCCTACCTTCCCTATTACAGGCCGGACATACTCCTACCTTCCCTACCACAGGCCGGACATACTCCCACCTTCCCTATCACAGGCCGGACATACTCCTACCTTCCCTATCACAGGTCGGACATACTCCCTACTTCCCTATCACAGGCCGGACATACTCCTACCTTCCCCACCACAGGCCGGACATACTCCCACCTTCCCTATCACAGGCCGGACATACTCCTACCTTCCCTATTACAGGCCGGACATACTCCTACCTTCCCTATTACAGGCCGGACATACTCCCACCTTCCCTATCACAGGCCGGACATACTCCCACCTTCCCTATTACAGGCCGGACATACTCCCACCTTCCCACCTTCCCTATCACAGGCCGGACATACTCCCACCTTCCCTATCACAGGCCGGACATACTCCCCACTTCTCCATCACAGGTCGGACATACTCCCACCTTCCCTATCACAGGTCGGACATACTCCCACCTTCCCTACCACAGGCCGGACATACTCCCACCTTCCCTATCACAGGCCGGACATACTCCTACCTTCCCTATTACAGGCCGGACATACTCCTACCTTCCCTACCACAGGCCAGACATACTCCCACCTTCCCTATCACAGGCCGGACATACTCCCCACTTCACCATCACAGGCCGGACATACTCCCTACTTCTCTACCACAGGCCGGACATACTCCCTACTTCTCTACCACAGGTCGGACATACTCCCACCTTCCCCATCACAGGCCGGACATACTCCTACCTTCCCCACCACAGGTCGGACATACTCCTACCTTCCCTACCACAGGCCGGACATACTCCCACCTTCCCCACCACAGGTCGGACATACTCCCTACTTCTCTACCACAGGCCGGACATACTCCCACCTTCCCCATCACAGGCCGGACATACTCCTACCTTCCCCACCACAGGTCGGACATACTCCCTACTTCTCTACCACAGGCCGGACATACTCCCTACTTCTCTATCACAGGCCGGACATACTCCCTACTTCTCTACCACAGGCCGGACATACTCCCTACTTCTCTACCACAGGTCGGACATACTCCCACCTTCCCCATCACAGGCCGGACATACTCCTACCTTCCCCACCACAGGTCGGACATACTCCTACCTTCCCTACCACAGGCCGGACATACTCCCACCTTCCCCACCACAGGTCGGACATACTCCCTACTTCTCTACCACAGGCCGGACATACTCCCACCTTCCCCATCACAGGCCGGACATACTCCTACCTTCCCCACCACAGGTCGGACATACTCCCTACTTCTCTACCACAGGCCGGACATACTCCCTACTTCTCCATCACAGGTCGGACATACTCCCTACTTCTCTACCACAGGTCGGACATACTCCCTACTTCTCTACCACAGGTCGGACATACTCCCTACTTCTCTACCACAGGCCGGACATACTCCCACCTTCCCCACCACAGGTCGGACATACTCCCTACTTCTCCATCACAGGCCGGACATACTCCCACCTTCCCCACCACAGGTCGGACATACTCCCTACTTCTCCATCACAGGTCGGACATACTCCCTACTTCTCTACCACAGGCCGGACATACTCCCTACTTCTCTACCACAGGTCGGACATACTCCCTACTTCTCTACCACAGGTCGGACATACTCCCTACTTCTCTACCACAGGTCGGACATACTCCCTACTTCTCTACCACAGGTCGGACATACTCCCTACTTCTCTACCACAGGTCGGACATACTCCCACCTTCCCCATCACAGGCCGGACATACTCCTACCTTCCCCACCACAGGTCGGACATACTCCCTACTTCTCTACCACAGGCCGGACATACTCCTACCTTCCCCACCACAGGTCGGACATACTCCCTACTTCTCTACCACAGGCCGGACATACTCCCTACTTCTCTACCACAGGTCGGACATACTCCTACCTTCCCCATCACAGGCCGGACATACTCCTACCTTCCCCACCACAGGTCGGACATACTCCCTACTTCTCTACCACAGGCCGGACATACTCCCTACTTCTCTACCACAGGCCGGACATACTCCTACCTTCCCCACCACAGGTCGGACATACTCCCTACTTCTCTACCACAGGCCGGACATACTCCTACCTTCCCCACCACAGGTCGGACATACTCCCTACTTCTCTACCACAGGCCGGACATACTCCCTACTTCTCTACCACAGGTCGGACATACTCCCACCTTCCCCATCACAGGCCGGACATACTCCTACCTTCCCCACCACAGGTCGGACATACTCCCTACTTCTCTACCACAGGTCGGACATACTCCCACCTTCCCCATCACAGGCCGGACATACTCCTACCTTCCCCACCACAGGTCGGACATACTCCCTACTTCTCTACCACAGGTCGGACATACTCCCACCTTCCCCATCACAGGCCGGACATACTCCCACCTTCCCCACCACAGGTCGGACATACTCCTACCTTCCCTATCACAGGCCGGACATACTCCTACCTTCCCCATCACAGGCCGGACATACTCCCTACTTCTCTACCACAGGTCGGACATACTCCCACCTTCCCCATCACAGGCCGGACATACTCCCACCTTCCCCATCACAGGTCGGACATACTCCCACCTTCCCCACCACAGGTCGGACATACTCCCTACTTCTCTACCACAGGCCGGACATACTCCCTACTTCTCTACCACAGGTCGGACATACTCCCACCTTCCCCATCACAGGCCGGACATACTCCCACCTTCCCCATCACAGGCCGGACATACTCCTACCTTCCCCACCACAGGTCGGACATACTCCCTACTTCTCTACCACAGGTCGGACATACTCCCACCTTCCCCATCACAGGCCGGACATACTCCCACCTTCCCCATCACAGGCCGGACATACTCCTACCTTCCCCACCACAGGTCGGACATACTCCCTACTTCTCTACCACAGGCCGGACATACTCCTACCTTCCCCACCACAGGTCGGACATACTCCCTACTTCTCCATCACAGGCCGGACATACTCCTACCTTCCCCACCACAGGTCGGACATACTCCCTACTTCTCTACCACAGGCCGGACATACTCCCTACTTCTCTACCACAGGCCGGACATACTCCCACCTTCCCCACCACAGGTCGGACATACTCCCTACTTCTCTACCACAGGTCGGACATACTCCCACCTTCCCCACCACAGGTCGGACATACTCCCTACTTCTCTACCACAGGTCGGACATACTCCCACCTTCCCCATCACAGGCCGGACATACTCCCACCTTCCCCATCACAGGTCGGACATACTCCCACCTTCCCCACCACAGGTCGGACATACTCCCTACTTCTCTACCACAGGCCGGACATACTCCCACCTTCCCCACCACAGGTCGGACATACTCCCTACTTCTCTACCACAGGCCGGACATACTCCCACCTTCCCCATCACAGGCCGGACATACTCCTACCTTCCCCACCACAGGTCGGACATACTCCCTACTTCTCTACCACAGGCCGGACATACTCCCACCTTCCCCACCACAGGTCGGACATACTCCCTACTTCTCCATCACAGGCCGGACATACTCCCTACTTCTCTACCACAGGCCGGACATACTCCCTACTTCTCTACCACAGGCCGGACATACTCCTACCTTCCCCACCACAGGTCGGACATACTCCCTACTTCCCCACCACAGGCCGGACATACTCCCACCTTCCCCACCACAGGTCGGACATACTCCCTACTTCTCTACCACAGGCCGGACATACTCCCACCTTCCCCATCACAGGCCGGACATACTCCTACCTTCCCCACCACAGGTCGGACATACTCCCTACTTCTCTACCACAGGCCGGACATACTCCTACCTTCCCCACCACAGGTCGGACATACTCCCTACTTCTCCATCACAGGCCGGACATACTCCTACCTTCCCCACCACAGGTCGGACATACTCCCTACTTCTCTACCACAGGCCGGACATACTCCTACCTTCCCCACCACAGGTCGGACATACTCCCTACTTCTCCATCACAGGTCGGACATACTCCCTACTTCTCTACCACAGGCCGGACATACTCCTACCTTCCCCACCACAGGTCGGACATACTCCCTACTTCCCCACCACAGGCCGGACATACTCCCTACTTCTCTACCACAGGTCGGACATACTCCCTACTTCTCTATCACAGGCCGGACATACTCCTACCTTCCCCACCACAGGTCGGACATACTCCCTACTTCTCTACCACAGGTCGGACATACTCCCTACTTCTCTATCACAGGCCGGACATACTCCTACCTTCCCCACCACAGGCCGGACATACTCCCACCTTCCCTATCACAGGTCGGACATACTCCTACCTTCCCTATCACAGGCCGGACATACTCCTACCTTCCCCATCACAGGCCGGACATACTCCCTACTTCTCTACCACAGGTCGGACATACTCCCACCTTCCCCATCACAGGCCGGACATACTCCCACCTTCCCCATCACAGGTCGGACATACTCCCACCTTCCCCACCACAGGTCGGACATACTCCCTACTTCTCTACCACAGGCCGGACATACTCCCTACTTCTCTACCACAGGTCGGACATACTCCCACCTTCCCCATCACAGGCCGGACATACTCCCACCTTCCCCATCACAGGCCGGACATACTCCTACCTTCCCCACCACAGGTCGGACATACTCCCTACTTCTCTACCACAGGTCGGACATACTCCCACCTTCCCCATCACAGGCCGGACATACTCCCACCTTCCCCATCACAGGCCGGACATACTCCTACCTTCCCCACCACAGGTCGGACATACTCCCTACTTCTCTACCACAGGCCGGACATACTCCTACCTTCCCCACCACAGGTCGGACATACTCCCTACTTCTCCATCACAGGCCGGACATACTCCTACCTTCCCCACCACAGGTCGGACATACTCCCTACTTCTCTACCACAGGTCGGACATACTCCCACCTTCCCCACCACAGGTCGGACATACTCCCTACTTCTCTACCACAGGTCGGACATACTCCCACCTTCCCCATCACAGGCCGGACATACTCCCACCTTCCCCATCACAGGTCGGACATACTCCCACCTTCCCCACCACAGGTCGGACATACTCCCTACTTCTCTACCACAGGCCGGACATACTCCCACCTTCCCCACCACAGGTCGGACATACTCCCTACTTCTCTACCACAGGCCGGACATACTCCCACCTTCCCCATCACAGGCCGGACATACTCCTACCTTCCCCACCACAGGTCGGACATACTCCCTACTTCTCTACCACAGGCCGGACATACTCCCTACTTCTCTACCACAGGTCGGACATACTCCCACCTTCCCCACCACAGGTCGGACATACTCCCTACTTCTCCATCACAGGCCGGACATACTCCCTACTTCTCTACCACAGGCCGGACATACTCCCTACTTCTCTACCACAGGCCGGACATACTCCTACCTTCCCCACCACAGGTCGGACATACTCCCTACTTCCCCACCACAGGCCGGACATACTCCCACCTTCCCCACCACAGGTCGGACATACTCCCTACTTCTCTACCACAGGCCGGACATACTCCCACCTTCCCCATCACAGGCCGGACATACTCCTACCTTCCCCACCACAGGTCGGACATACTCCCTACTTCTCTACCACAGGTCGGACATACTCCTACCTTCCCCACCACAGGTCGGACATACTCCCTACTTCTCCATCACAGGCCGGACATACTCCTACCTTCCCCACCACAGGTCGGACATACTCCCTACTTCTCTACCACAGGCCGGACATACTCCTACCTTCCCCACCACAGGTCGGACATACTCCCTACTTCCCCACCACAGGCCGGACATACTCCCTACTTCTCTACCACAGGTCGGACATACTCCCTACTTCTCTATCACAGGCCGGACATACTCCTACCTTCCCCACCACAGGTCGGACATACTCCCTACTTCTCTACCACAGGTCGGACATACTCCCTACTTCTCTATCACAGGCCGGACATACTCCTACCTTCCCCACCACAGGCCGGACATACTCCCACCTTCCCTATCACAGGCCGGACATACTCCTACCTTCCCTATTACAGGCCGGACATACTCCCACCTTCCCTATCACAGGCCGGACATACTCCCACCTTCCCCACCACAGGCCGGACATACTCCCACCTTCCCTATCACAGGTCGGACATACTCCCACCTTCCCTATCACAGGCCGGACATACTCCTACCTTCCCTATTACAGGCCGGACATACTCCCTACTTCTCTACCACAGGCCGGACATACTCCCTACTTCTCTACCACAGGCCGGACAAACTCCTACCTTCCCTATTACAGGCCGGACATACTCCTACCTTCCCTATTACAGGCCGGACATACTCCTACCTTCCCTATTACAGGCCGGACATACTCCTACCTTCCCTATTACAGGCCGGACATACTCCTACCTTCCCTATTACAGGCCGGACATACTCCCACCTTCCCTATTACAGGCCGGACATACTCCTACCTTCCCTATTACAGGCCGGACATACTCCCACCTTCCCTATCACAGGCCGGACATACTCCCTACTTCTCTACCACAGGCCGGACATACTCCTACCTTCCCTATTACAGGCCGGACATACTCCTACCTTCCCTATTACAGGCCGGACATACTCCTACCTTCCCTATCACAGGCCGGACATACTCCCACCTTCCCCACCACAGGCCGGACATACTCCCTACTTCTCTATTACAGGTCGGACATACTCCTACCTTCCCCACCACAGGCCGGACATACTCCTACCTTCCCCATCACAGGTCGGACATACTCCCACCTTCCCCACCACAGGCCGGACATACTCCCACCATCTCTATTACAGGTCGGACATACTCCCACCTTCCCCACCACAGGCCGGACATACTCCCACCATCTCTATCACAGGCCGGACATACTCCCACCTTCCCCACCACAGGCCGGACATACTCCCTACTTCTCTATCACAGGTCGGACATACTCCCACCTTCCCCACCACAGGCCGGACATACTCCCACCATCTCTATTACAGGTCGGACATACTCCCACCTTCCCCACCACAGGCCGGACATACTCCCACCATCTCTATCACAGGCCGGACATACTCCTACCTTCCCTATCACAGGCCGGACATACTCCCACCTTCCCTATCACAGGCCGGACATACTCCCACCATCTCTATTACAGGTCGGACATACTCCTACCTTCCCCACCACAGGCCGGACATATAAAAAAATATCACCCTCGTGTCTTTGATATCTCAGTTAGATTCTCTATATAGCTTCATCCAGCGAGGAGTCCAGGTTACAACAGCAGCCGATGCCGTAACTCAATGGATGGAGTGGTCAGCTCCCGCCATGGCCTGGCCAACGCGGTGGTTCGTTGCTTATAATATCAATCACTAAATTGTCTAGTCGATTAATGACAGGCCGCCGTCATATAACAGGAATATTTCAGAGTTTTGGGCCAATCACCAAACACTCGTCCAGCCACTCAACTGAAGAAGTACACCATGACATAGTTCTTCTCAAGTCACTAATATCTGCACAAGATGGCTTCAGTTCCTCTGATCGTTACAATTCCTGGCAAAACTCCCCGATATCCTGGCAAAATAATGACGGAATACTTACACACGGGAAGTGTATTATAAACACTCGAAGAGCTCAAGATATTATTCCGCAAGAGATTCACAAAGAGTTCTGCCGCGGATATTGTAAGACTTGCAGCAAAGGAGTTGTGCATACGTGACGCTTAACTCGGAGATCGCTCGAGGCCGTGCTTCCTCGTGTGACTTAAGAAGAGACTTACGCTATCCGCAACTGTGAGCGAAGCTTGCGATGATGCTACAGACTCTGATGGCATGAGATTGATTCCTGAGATTCCTTCAGAATCATCAACAGCAAAGTAAGATTATGCACGATGACACTTGTCGTGAGATAACTGAGATATTGTTCAAAGCGACGTTAACCCCCCCCCCCCCCCCCCCCCCCCCCTACTCTTTGATCCGTCTTCCAATATCTTTAGTTCTTCATGGTTATTGTGACGCACAAACCTTGTGCAGAATTATTCACCGTTAAAATCAACCTTACATATTTTGAGAACCGTCTCCGTGGTCTAATGGTAGAGCGTCCGCCCGGAGAGCGGAAGGTCCGGGGTTCGATCCCCAGCCGCGTCATACCAAAAGACGTGAAAAGATGGTACTTGTTGTTACCCTGTCTGGCGCTCTGCATTAAGGGGCTGGTCGGCTCGGAGTCAGTATACTGTGTGTGAGTGGGGTATTCATGTTAAACTGCGTCATCCTAGTGAGCTAGCACTATAAATCGGCATCAGTCCGGACTAGTACAAGCAGCCACACACACACACACACGCACACACACACACTCGTACATGCACGTCGCTATATAAGTGCAATAGTCTTGGACGCGACGTTTAACCCAATTCACCTCACCTCACCTCACATATTTTGAGACACATACAGAAAAATATAATCCTTGCTGGCAAACATGATATGTACTTTCTAAGTTTTATCTCCTTTGAATGAGTAATGTTTTGTCAGTGTTTCATTACTAGTGATTAATAGTTATTAATTTCGTAATTTTATATACATAACACAAATAAGATAAAACTTACCAAAGGCGTATAACGAGATATTATTTAAAACCGCTTCGGTAATTCAACAAGTTTTCAGTTATCTTTCATGATGGCCCTTATTATTAGACTACGTAAATCTTCCAACGTGTTTTCCTTTTTTCTTCCAGTCCTAATTTTTTATGACATTTAAAGAGTGAAAAGTAACACGCATTGTATGACAGATCAGTGAAATACCACGAACTCCTTCCGGCCAATTTGAACTTCTTCGAACATAAAAGCTTTTGAACCCGGTGTACGATGCTGTTAGACTCATTATCTTATTTCTCCTCCCCTCCCCCGGCGTCGGCTGATGTAAAGCCAGGCTGTGTTAACATACAGCATTGTGTAGGTGATGCAGTGTCTCGATGATAAGGTAGATGACATGGTCATATAACGAGGCGCGTTATAACGAAAATGATCATTATATTACAGGTATCAGGGAAAAACGTGGCGTTCAAAGCTTTACCATTGTACTCATTCCACACTTTCAATGACGATGGTATCAGTGGAATTAGGTCAATGGAAATATCAATCCGACTAACTCAATACAGAAGTTGGGAGCTTAAGTGTACTTGAGTAGTTTAGATGTTGTGAGTGAATCAGTGAATGTTCATTCCAGCTCTATGATGGCCGACTCGAAATAATTGAGTCTGGACCAGACAGTCCACTGATTGATATTATGAGGAAAGATCCACGACGTCGGGTTATGGTGAGACGCTATCAACCAAGTCACGAACCTGACAACCTAATCCATTAATCCATCCCTCTATCATAAACGTGAATCCACGGGGTCATTATCTTCGAAAACGAGGCTAAGGGAGGCAACTCTGTACGCGTTCCAAAGGACATGCTTTCGATGATAGGCTCTCACAAACCATGGGGACTGATAACAAAGACAGTTCCCGTGTCTTTGGCCATGTTGGCATTGCTGGGGGTTAGTGCCCCCTCACCCCACCCCTATCCCCACTCATAATAAATAAGTAATGATACATTTTGGCGACCCCCCTCTGTCATTGTGTCATGTGTCATTGTTCATGTCAGCGTTTTTAGTAATTCACTCGCAGATGATAAATCTGCATCTGGCAGCTAACTTGTATCCCCGATATGTTTCCTCTAACTACAACACCGATCCTCGGTCGAGCGACACTCAAGGAAAAGATAACGACGCAAGAAAGCCTATTTTACGCTTTTACATTTTTCATTATATTTGGCAATTTGAAAATGTGACATACACAAAACATCGCTTAAAGATATGTTGAAACTAAAAATAAAATCAACTAAATTAATCATCGCCATCCAAAAGAAGTTAATACATCCAATAATTACTAACAAACAAAAACATCGTGAAAATGTAAACACTAAATTAATTGAATGACTGAACAAACGCAAACCCCCTTTACCTCCTTAATGATGTCACAACATAACGTATAGTTCTACCCTAACTTTATTTAACCCAAAGGGTACATATATTCGATGTTATTGCCCATTAATACAATGAAATTCATATTCACGGTTTAAGGGGACATTGTCGTATTGCCGGGGGAGCCATGCTGATAACGTGATCCTTAATTGGCCGCACTAACAGAGCCTTTGGATGGCCTAATGAGCTTCAGTGACCCATTTTGGCGTGTGATCTCGCCTGTAGCACCCTAAACCTTAATTAGTAGACTTTATGGAATTAACCAATACAAGATATACCCAATAAGGAAGTATTGGACAAGCGGAGGAATTGGCCAGAAGTACGGAACAGAAGACCTTGTGCTGTAATTACTTTGCTGGTCGGAAGCCCTGCAGTCAACGGCAAATCACCGCCCCGGGACGGCACCTTACTGATATCCTTCCGCGCGTATTCTTCATGGTTATATCTGCCCAGTTGAGTATTAATTTTGAACAAGTTTTGCGGAAACCAGATGAAGGGAAACCCAGTTTTGTCATCTGATGGTAATTCGATAGCCTTTTTATTCCATTCGTTGGCTTAATTAGGGCATGATTCGGAGAATCGACAAAGCAAAGCCTCCAGTGTTTTGTCGTCTTTCGTTTATTTCGGGCACCGGGGCCACCACTTGGGCACGTGTAAAAAGGTGAACATTACTTGGAAGTTCTCTGACGAAGACGGCGCCTAGTTTTATGCGTTAGGAATCTTTTAAATATAACAGGTTCTTGGAGGAGTTTTAGACCATTTTGTGCAGACGGTAAAGCCGTGCTCTCAAGACTCTGTAGGACGCTGTGACGGGAGTTCTTTATGGACCACGTGTTGGATTAACAAAATCAAGTAAATACAGGAGAAAGAATATACCCCGTTCATTAACAGGCCTCAGTGTGTTAGTTATTCTGAAAGACCTGTCAACACATTCTCATCATCTAACGTGATTCACATTGACCGAATTAGTGTGGGTAGATTTCACGCCTTGAAACAAGCAGCATATAATTGTACTACTCCCCTATATAAGGTTTTCGTATACAAATATGAAATATTACTTGACGACTGCACCGGTAAAGTAAATATTGAACGTAAGGTGACGGTAAAGTGTCTCTTTGCAGTCAACGCGTCGTTATTTCCGTGAGTGAGTGAGTATGGTTTTACCCCGCTATTAGCAATATTCCAGCAATATCACGACAGGGGACACCAGGAATAGGCTTCACATCTAATTTTTCTATATTTTTTTCTATATTTTAATTTGTATGTATATTTATTAATTTCTCATAGACTTACGTACATCTGCGTGTTTCCGTCCCCCCCTCCCCCGTACAGAACAACCTGAAGGACCAATGACAGCGCTATTTCGGGATGCCCAATGAACCGTCAACATCATACTGCAGATCCGCGACGTCCATATTTAACCCTGACAACAGAGGATGTGTCGTAATGGGAATTAAGCTCGGAGCAAGGGCTTGTTCAAAAGAGAAAATAACCGATTCAGGATCACGTGACAAAGAAACAAATCGATTCTAACTGAAAGGATCATAGGAATGCAACGTCGTCATGAAAATAAAATAACCATGGGAAAAAAACAGCCATGTAAAATTACTCTAATTATGTTTACTGTAACAAAATTAGTTAAAAATACCGCAGCATGGTCTCCCTTTATGATATTTAATCCTCTGATATGTTCCCTCCCGCCATGCAAGCTACATGAAAGTCTCCATTATCTAAAGCCAGATGTCGTCACGAAATGCCGAAATTGAATTTTAAGCCGACTCGTGTGTTCAAACGCCTTGAAATTCATAATCACACGGCCCAGGGAAATACTTTCGTCAGCAAAGTCAGAATCAATCTAAAATTTGTTTGATCGGCCATTAAGTAAGAATAAGTTTCAAAAACACAGCACACGGATCATCACGGCTGACTGAAGTTGTTTAGCCCTGGACCCCATCACGGAGAGAATCGCTTCACGACGCCCAACATGGCGACTCAACACGTCGTCCGCAAACTTTTAAATAACTTGTTACAGTCATTACATTCACGTGCAGATTTACCCTTTAGACATGAAAAGGGTCTTCTGAATTGAACAATGTCAGCTAAATGATCCGGGAGGATCTGAATTATTCTAAAGGCGCCAGGACGCGCCGTATGCCAACGCGATCCTGTGATGTTTAAAGT